CACGGCCTGATCCATTGTCTGGTTATTGAAAACGATGTCTATCTCTACCATCTGGAATGATTAAAGTAGGTTTTAAGTTACACAACAGTAACTTTAAAATGGTCACAATGGTGGTTTGTGGTTAAGTATTTTGTAAGATTAAGTATTTGTTACAAATATGTGCATTAAATTCATTTTTCATTTCAATTTTAAAATGTGTTGTAAGGCTAATTATTTGCTGTTTTTAACATTTAATTTAATGTTTAATTAAACTCTATAAAACATTTCTATAGAATTTTTTTGCCTCTATAGAGTTACATAGAACTCTATATAAAGTTCTATAGAATTCTATCATTAATTACGCAATGATAGTTTGGACAAGTTCAATAACGCCGGAATGGTATATTATTTATTTAATATTTCTTTTATGCGCTCTATTTTTCATTTCATGCTTCAATTTTGTCCCATTTTTTCCCCAAAAATTTCAGTCCATGTCAGTATGTGAAGCGTGACTGTTGTGTCAGCCTATGACCCTAGGCCTAGTTTAAGGGGGCCTAGGTAAGACCTCAGCCTGTATTATTAGGCCTATAGTATATCCACTTTCTCTCTAGCCTTTGGTATAACTGTACCTTCTACACTTTATAACAGGAGGTACTAGCTGTTGTTGTTGTAGATAATATACTAACATTTAATAACATCCAAGAAGGCCACAGTTAGTTACACAGTGACGTACACACATAAGTCCGTGAAATTTCATAGGCCTACCGTAGGTAAACATAGAAAGAGCAATAATAGTAAAACTCGAGCGTCACGACATTGCGAAGTGTCTGCTCTTGTTCCTCATATCGTACTCACTCGAGTCAATCCGAGATGGTCCGAGTGAAGTTTCATGCAAATGTTTCGTACGGAAAAAAAAATCGCGAACCGGATACCAAATGATCTCCATTGCTCAGTGCGCACACACATTCTATCACTGTGCGCACAAATGTCATTTTGGCACAGTGGTGTATCTATAGTTGTTAAAATCAATTGGGTTTAACCACAGGAATATATCATGTCGGTCAGTGTTTTATTTTATTTTTTTAATTATTCAATTATTGACTCTACACATTAATTTTACAACAATTTTTAAAAAAAAACAGTGGTTGATTGAAAACTAATCGTCTCACATTTTTAGACTTATCGATGTATCTCGATATTAAATAAGAAGTACTGTATTTTTGTATTTTATGCCTACGGTAAATAATTTTGTTGGAATATTTTATTGTTAAATGGCCCAATGAATACTCCCATCACATGTGGGATAATGATAGTTTATTGAATTGATCTGAAGAGAATTGAAATTTTGAATTAGATTTTCAAATCTCTGTTTTAAAACTTCCTGATTTGTTGCCTCGATACCGGAGTGTTTATCGTCTATGATACTTCCAAAGTTGCTCAGCCAAAGCACCAACACAAATTTTAAGGAGATAGTTTTATTTACCACAATATATATACTGTCTCTTATACACATCTCCACTGTGCCAAAATGACATTTGTGCGCACAGTGATAGCTGTCTCTTATACACATCTATATATGTATATATATATATATATATATATATATATATATATATATGTTGTTTCTGCATTCAGATTTACAAATGAGTACTTGTAGCAGGTGAATGATTAGAAATGGAATCAGGTAGTGCTCAGACACAATACCCGTATAGTTATTTCAACTTACTGTATTTACGTAGGTAGTGTCTACACTAAACAATTGTGATTTTATTTTCTATGTCTATAATTGCAGGTAATCTGATTCTTCTGTTCCAAGTTGTAGTCAAACTTCTGCATCAAAATGCCTCGCGGAACATCGTACGCTAACAATTCTTATAACCAAAGTCTAGGAAGGGTTGGTATGGCCATGGGCAGTGCTCCGGTATCACGATCTAGTGGCGGAGGAAGCTCAAGTGGTGGTGGTGGAAGTAGATCATATGGTGGTGGAAGTAGTGGATATGCTAGTAGTTCTGGGACCACTAATACCTACGTCGACAATTCTTACAACCGTAGCGTCGGTAGAGTTGGCATGGAACGTGGAAGCATGCCAATCTCAAAAGGCTCAAGTAGCTCTGGCAGTACTTCAAGTTCTGCATGCAATACCTACGTCGACAATTCTTACAATCGTAACTTGGGGAGAGTTGGCATGGAACGCGGAAGCATGCCCGTCTCGAGAGACTCAAGTAGCTCTGGTAGTGTTTCAAGTTCAGCATCTACAAAAACCTACGTTGACAACTCTTACAACCGAAGCTTGGGTAGAGTTGGGATGAAACTCGGTAGCATGTCTGTCTCCAAAGGTTCAGAAAATACCAACACATACGTTGATAATGCCTACAACCGTAGTCTTGGTAGAGTTGGAATGAAACGCGGAAGTATGTCGCTATCTAAAGACTCCAAAACAGTCATGAGTAGTGATAGTAAGAAGACGCAAGGCACTGTGAAAACAGAACCAAAGCTTTATGCTGATAACGCCATGAATAGAAAACTAGGTAGAGCTAATCAACCTTTTGGTAGCATGCCGGTATCATCGAAGAAAACTGAAACCGGTTATATGCAGAATGCTTACGATCACATGGTGAATAACCCAGTACGTATACAAGAAATACTTTATATGTTTTTTTCTGTCATGATTGTGTGGTAATGTTAGTGCCTGATTGCATTTGATTCCTATATACCTAATAAGGAATTTCACCTCCGGAGAGACGATTGTATTTTTAATTACCATATACTGTAATTATTATTTTTATTATTAATTATTGTGTCTGTTGCTGATGATGCTACTGCTTTTTTGTTGTAGTTTTTGTTATTAGTTAGCATCACTTACGTTTGGAATTTACTGTATATAATTACCAAACATTTTATTCGAAAAACGATTTTCTACAATAATCAAATTCATTATAATTGAAGACATCGAAATGTTGGTCTACCCAATTACTATTAATTGAAACAGACTTATTTACTCAAGCGTGCTGTCAAAATTTTTTTTTTTAATAAAAAAATAATAAAAATTATTTAATAGTTATATACAAATTGTTACTGTATCCCATCATTCTGTAAAGTGCTGTGAGAAGAATTTATTGTTTATTGGCGCTATTATAAAAATAAATTATTATTATTATTAAAGACGAGTATGATCAATTCTAACTTGTTTTCATATTCAATCTAGAATGAAGAGTTTCACCCACCATTCACAGCAGGTGATCTCGATGAATTGCTGCAACAGCGTTTGACAGAGATGTTCAATCGCATGGAGTTATCGAGAAACTACGAGCTGGCTCCTGTTAGAAGCCCCTTCGAGTGGTACGAAGGTCCGGTTATTCAGTTCAATGACCTACAAATTGGAAAGATAATTGGACATGGTGGTTTTGGTGATGTTCACCACGCCAAACTGAAGGGTAAAGAAGTTGCCGTTAAGAAGTTACGCGTCCAGCGTGTAAGTCAGAGGAAGTTGTCTCAGTTCGAAGAAGAAGTTCGAGTCTTCTGTAAACTGCAGCACAAGAATATCATTACTTTCTACGGCGCATGTATCACAACACCAAATCTGTGCATCGTAATGGAGTTCATGGAAGGAAGTCTATACGACAAACTGCACATTGAACAGCACCAATTCAGCGTTAAGGATCAGAAGTTCATCGCGATGGAAATTGCTGATGGTTTGGTTTACCTGCATTCAGAGAATGTTGCACATTGCGACATGAAGCCGACTAACGTATTGATCAACGTTGGTGACGACATAGACAAACACGAAGTGAAAATCACTGATTTTGGATTGAGCAAGATGAAAAACTACGCTGACTCATCGCGCTCTGCCAGGGCGGAAGATCTGGTGAAAGAGGTTGGCACTCCACGCTATTCGGCACCCGAAGTTCTACGTGGTGAATTTCTTGACACAAAAGGAATGATGTTTGCAGACGTGTATTCGTTTGGTCTCGTCATGTTTGAAATATTTAGCGGTGAAGAGGCTTTTGATGATTATAATGCTCATCAATTGAAGAAGCATATTGGAAATGGTGATCATAAGCCCGACGTTGCTGGATTGGAGCTTTCACGCCCATTGCAGAAGTTAATGTTGAAGTGTTGGGTTAGAAATCCAACGGAACGACCAACAGCAAAGCAATGTGTTTTGTCTTTGAAAAAAGCTGATTAATAAATACTCTAAAGTATCGATTTAGAATTTAGTACATCGTTTCATGCTTCTGTGTATTTAGTATTTAGAATCAAACAATTAAAGTTTAATGGTTTGTTTTTCCTTTTGTTTTTCTGGTTTCATGCGCATGTTGTACAAAATGTTTTAATTTGACAGCATGCTAATTTCTTAGTTTGTACTAAGTAAGTGATGAGTTTACAAATGGTGACAGTTAAAAAACACAAAGATTGATTTTTAAATTGTATAAGAAGAAAACACAATAAAGTAATAAAATTAAGTTAGGTAAAATGTACATATTTTACATATATAATTCGAAAAAGTATTTTAAACCAGTCATACGTGTACACACCAACATATATATTAGTAGATAATGATCAACATGAATACGCAATGAGACAAGCGTAACTTACAAACTTGGCTATAAAGGCCATAAAGAGGACAAATACATTTTCTGTTACACTGATACATTACGATCATTTACTTAAATGGCCGTGGCATACAGTAGTACGATTTTATATCCTATCATATCACTTTTTAATGTGTAAGTTTTTAAGAAGTTGAATATACCTATGTTAAATACGAAAACAAATTGTATTCGAATTGATGGTTTTGTTTTATGTATTATTATAATAGAGTAGTTATTAAACTCATATTTTTATATTCGCTATAAATAACCTAGTCTACTAATACCATATACTATATACTATAATGTTATTTTATGTAAGCTTGTCTTTTAATAACTTAATTATTACACTTAATAAAAATTAATATAGGAATGCTTAGCGTTTTGTTATTGAGTGAATAAATGCATTTTAAGTTATGTGATATGCCTGTGACCATAGTAATCTGACACTGCGAAACCCCTAACAGTACTTGTATATAGAATATTGTAAATTTCTACGAATTAAACCACCTTCTCCTCCATTGAAGCCTATTTGTCCAATTATATCCTGCCACTAAACCATGGCAACCCTTGGTTCCCACTAGGACGCAACGCAACGACGCAGGCGCAATGTATCGGCGCAAAGTGATGCGAATCGAGGGCGTAGCAGCTTCCAATTGGGAACAGACGACTAAAACTTTCTGACGCTAGTCAACTTTTGCGTTGTTTGGATAAAGTTAAATTGATTTAACTTTCCGCAATGCAAGATCGGAAACGCAAGGGAAAAGCACATTTGCGCATGTTCTAAACATGATATTCATGCGAGCCTTCATATCATTTACGTTTTGATGAAAAGTTGTCTGTGTAGGTAAGGAATTGTAGCTTTCATGTAGCCCTGTGTGTTTTTATAGGTTGTGATTCGGCTGTACTGTACTAATAATAGGGCATAGGACTAACCTTCAATACATTACAAGAAGATTTGATTGGTGGCAGAAGGCTGATTTTATGTATGAGATAAATTTACCTCTGTCTTTGTATATTGTACGACAAAGTCGTGTGAAGGTTTTGAAAAATCACCAAAATGAGAGTGGGGACACTGGGATTAGCATAAGCATTGCCAAAATAATTGCCAAAACACCCCCTACTACTGTGTCTGCTTTGTATGACAAATAGCTCACGATGGGTCTATAGTCGAAGACAGACGACTCAAAAACGAAAACACCTATTTGTTTTTCTTTTTTATTTTAATGATAATACAGTACATCAAGCTGTTACAAGATCACGAGATTATTGAAGTGTGTGGTCTTTGTTTTATAGACAACCAACTAGGTCACGATATCAGTAATTTGCTCAGTAACTATAGAAATGTAGCATACTAGGCCACGCCTAGATAATTTTTTTTTAAAATATATAAATACAAACGATTTCTGATGTTAAGAGTGCTACAGTAACCGTATACATCTATTACAATTTCCAACTTTCCGTAAGGAGGGGCGATGCGAAATAGCCGGAAGAGCGTTTTTTTTTTTTTGGTTTTTTTTTTTTACGTTGGGTTGCGTACGTTGCGCTGCAACAGTCTTTTTACAAGTGGGAACTAGGGTGTACGCCTACCCTGGCCTACCGTACTTTGATTATTTCCGACTCAATGTTAATGGCTCTTATATGAGCCACAATCGCAATCTGTAACAAACGTACGTGCGATACGCCAACTCACACGAAAGAAGAAACACTAATACTGATTATGAGATGATGACAAGTTGCTGATGATGGTGAAATGATAATGTTTGACAATAATTTATTTATGTAGTTATTTATTTATTCCAAACCAACAGCGAATCATCGCCACTAACAGGCAGGTAAAATGAAGACGACGATGATTATGTTGATGATAATGATGACGATATTGATAATGAAAATGTTGGTGGTGGTGGTGATAATGATGATGATTTGTTTGTTTGTTTACATTTGATTTTTCACACAAATCAAATCTTATACAGTTGAACATACAATATAGACAAAATTACTGTACAGTACTTAATAAGATTAAAATAAACATTTTTTGGATGGAGGTAAAATAAGTTCGAAGAACTTTAAGGGTGACCTCCATTTAATACATTATAATAACATATAGGCCTATATATATAGTCTCTTATACACATCT